AGCATCAATGTAAACATGTTAGCAGTTAGCATCAATGTAAACATGTTGCAGTTAGCATCAATGTAAACATGTTAGCAGTTAGCATCAATTTAAACATGTTGCAGTTAGCATCATTGTAAACATGTTGCAGTTAGCATCAATGTAAACATGTTAACAGTTAGCATCAATGTAAACATGTTGCAGTTAGCATCAATGTAAACATGTTAGCAGTTAGCATCAATGTAAACATGTTAGCAGTTAGCATCAATGTAAACATGTTGCAGTTAGCATCAATGTAAACATGTGAGCAGTTAGCATTTATGACCATTCATCTATAAAATAATCCTACATTTCTCACCTGGCAACACTGATGGGCTGTCTCTCTTTCTTTTTTTTCGTTTTTCAAAATGGCAGACGCTCTGTGGTTTGAGCTCTTTAGCATTTTTCACACAAAGCTTTTAATAAAAAATCAGTAAACAAGTTCTCAGCTTCTTTTTCAGAGGAAAAACAACTTTTTACTCGAAGGCATGGGTTTCAACCGTGAATTTTGGAGCTTCGACAAGACGGAGGTTTTTTCCTGAGGTCGGCCTGTTAGCTTAGCTCGTAGCTTAACTGCTTTTAATGAAACAAAAATGTGATTTTGGATCGTTAAAACAGATTTTAAAGATAAAAGAGAGAGGGAGGAGTCAGTGAAGAACCGGAGCCTTTTATCATCCAGTGTCTTCAGTAGAAAGAGAGAGAGACGAAGAAACGATAAAGCTGATAAATGAAAATGAGGTTGATAGTTTTCATTTATCATGCGATTAATTGATTTATTGATTTATTGTTTATCGTGACAGACCTGACGTTACAATCTCCTCTGGTCAGTGCTCTTGTGTTTACTGTATTACTTGTTTTTTTACTTATAAAATACATTAAAGTAGGAGGAGCAAGTCCATTTAAAACTTTAAAAATCAGAGAAGCATCCATAAAAATCAGATAACTATCAAAATCCAGAATGTTGTACTTATGATGTTACAATGATACTGTCAAAGCTTTTTGTTGAAAATGTTCAGTGTTTTCTTAAAAAGAGACTTTAGGGGCTTCAATTAATTCTGTCTTGAATGAAAAATACCCCATGTTTAAAATTATAAGCATTTTATTAACACTATTAAATAACAGGTCTTAAGTTCAGTTCAGTTTATTTCTTCAGCTCCAAGTGACAACAGAAGTCGTTTCAGGGACTGAACAGAAACATTCATGTATAAAATAATAATTTAACAGAAACATTCATGTATAAAATAATAATTGAACAGAAACATTCATGTATAAAATAATAATTGAACAGAAACATTCATCTATAAAATAATAATTGAACAGAAACATTCATCT